ATGCTTGAGAGTTCTCTTCACATCTGTACTATTAGATTCTTCCTTATCATAATGTAGAAGTCCTTTACATGAAATGGCCTCGGTTTGAATGACAGTGCAGTTTGTGCCCGGCTTCATTTGGGGGTGATGTGGGGGTGCAGGAAACCAAGGAGAAAAAGTTTTTGTCGAGGTGTCAAGAATGTAGAAGAAATCACACGGTGCTGGTGCTTGAGGTTGAAACAACCTAACAATGTACCTCCCGCGCGCGCCCCCTACTGGGGACCCAGTGATGTGGAGCAGCTTGTTGATCAGAGTCACGGAGGCTCATTAATTCATGGTGGAGTATCCGGGTAACCTTTACAGAGATAAGTTAAAATCTAACTAGCATCCTGCCTAAACCTATAGTGACCTAACAGCTCCCACTCAGTGTTTCCTGGCTGCCGACTCCTCCCTAACCTCGTAGTGAATGTATAACAGGCACGGCCCCGCGCAGTCAGGGCTCAGCCTTTGGAGAGGAATCCCCTGGCAGTGCCGGCACTGATAAACCCTGCTTCTCTCCAAACGTCTTGGTGTCCCGACTTCTTGTTTGTAGCGTCCGAGGTTGCTGCAACAGTGTTACCATCGTGGCAGCATACAACATGGGGTGCAGAGGATGGGCAGCAGGCAGTTCAGTAACCCATGTCGAGCACTTCGTGCCTGGTACATACCAGATCCTTAATTTTAACTTTTATTATTTTTAAATGAGTACTGCTTTGTTTGTTTGTTTGTTTATCACATCTGTAGGAGGCTGGGAAAAGGGAGATGGCTTCTGGAGGAAATGATGTCTGCACTGGTTTGGGGATAGACAGATGTGCTGGGCATATGGGTGGAGAGGGAACTGCCAGGACCGGGCTGGAAGCTTGCCCACCCCCACGGTTGTTCTGAGGACTGAAATGAGATAGAAAGATAAATGGACTTTGTAAACACAGGGAGAGATCGTAAACAATCATAATCCCTCTACTTTTGCTTGTGGAAGCAGACCTTCAGAACAACCAAACGCTTTGTTCAAATTCCATGTTCCTTATATTTTGTCTGAGGGCTGGGCATTTCCACCAGAAAAAGTGCTGCATGAAAATCGTTGGGACCTACTGTCTCAAGTGAAATAGCCCCTCCTGTGAGTAACTAAGCTGACACACTAGTGTGTGCACCATTCATACATTCAGCAAATGTTTATTGTGTGGTTTCCAAGGAATGGGTAGTACTTGATAAGAGGCTGTCCTTATTCTTAAAACAATACTCTCATGGGTCAGTGGGAGAAACAGACTGAAAACCAGTATTTACAGTGTGATGTGGTCAGTGCGCTGATAAAGGACCTAGTCCAGGAGGCTCCTGCTCGCACCCACCTCCAGCCTTCCCTCTTCCCTGCACCCACTCCACAGAGGTTGGGTTAAATCTGATAGAGGCCTCCCCGGACTTTTGTTACTTCCTGATAGTCTAGCTGAAACTGACTGACTCTAAACTTAAACCAGCCTAAAGCACTTCTAAGTCCCCAGCATCCCATGTCTACCTGCTGCCTTATGCCCACCAGCATCCAGCTGGTTCCATCCCTGTGTCCCTGTGCTGTTTCCCAGACCAATCACTTCAAGCATTTCTTTCATGACCTTCATAACCTTGCAGATCAGGGCTGGTGGGAGTGGTGGTGGGCAAGTCATTGGAAAGATATTTGTCCCTGTGTCCTGCCATCCTGCTGGGTCCCTAAACCAATCCCCCTTCCCTCTTGCTTCTCTCCTTCACTAGAGAAGCAAATTCTCTGTGTCTCCTGTTGAACAGTTTCACCCACATTCATGAGCCCTTGGGGGTCTCACTTCCTGTACCAAACCCTTGGCAAATGAATGCAGTTCCCATTCTTGGAGAAACTCTGTTATATAAAAATTTCTCTTTGATCCATCTGAGTGTTTACACTCAGCCCTGGAGGAACAACCAGTTACACCTTAGGGGTCAAGAAGGTTTCACAGAGGGTGATATGTGAGCCGCACTTCCCTTTGCTGGTGTTTTCTTCATAGACTTCAGTGCTTATCAGGTCACGTAAGGGGGCACATGACTCAGCCTCACCCAGAGCTCTCCACAGCCTGGGCCACCCTCAGTGATGACCCAAGGGGTGGACACCTGCCATACCTGGTCCAGTGCAACACACTTCTCTGACATGTGAAACCAGCAGAGGCACAGAGAGGGAGCTGGGGCCTGGACAGGCTGCTTTCCTTTTGATTCTGGGAGCTTCCTCAGTTGCCTCCCCACAAATCCTCCCTCTCTGTCTCTCCGTTTTTTTGCTTCAGTAAGCTAGAGTTGGGTTCAATTTTTTTTCAGGAGAAGAAGTCTCACTCTGACTGAAGAGTGAGTTGACACTCCTCTGCCCCAGAAGTCAGACCGATCAGGCCCAGTCATGCGAGTCAGAGCCACCTGCCACTCTAGGAAGAGCTGTGTAAATACTCACAAATGTTTAGTCTCTAGATTCTTTTTTTAAAATCCTTTTTAAAAATGTTGTGATAATTATATCATGCCAGACAAATGATAATGCAGCTGGTTAGAATTTTATTTAGAATAAATGGGCTCCAATTACCCAGGAAAGCTGTGGTAACCTAGATTTGATTTGGTACAAATCTTGGTACCGTCAGCCACAAATCCCCAGAGGAACCATTTCTGGAAATAGCTAAATGGATCCATGTGGCATTGATTTTTAAATAATTATCATTTCAGAGGAAGACCTTTATCTGATTTGATCTCCTTATCTTGGGAGAAACTTCTATGGGGTGAAGGAAGGAAAGCGTCCAGAATGTTAAGAATCAGGGATGATGGGACGTGCAAATCTCTTCCCCACTTTCGGAACTGAGCACTCACCCTGTGCGGCCGGCACCTTCCCTACTCGTCCTACTGCATGGGCTTTGCCAAGGCAGTTGTTGGTTGCTCTGAGCCTGAGCATTTTAGATTTAAGGGAGAAGCACAGAATATCCATAGTGTTTGTCCCCACCAGTCTCGGAGCCTACACATGCATAGGCCCTACCCAAGAACACACTTCCCATGCAAACTCTCGGACCAGCTCTGTGGAAAGTAGGTGAATTTGGCTCAAGCAACGATGAGTTGGCCTGGGAAAAATGTCCTGGGATCTCATGTCTGGGTGTCAATGGGAAGATGGTGGCTTTTGTTCTTTAGGAAATATCTCTGAAGCCAGTGCCTTACCACATGCCTAGCGTGACAAGCCCTCCTTGGGTTTTCCGTGGCAGTCTGACAGAGTCAGGGGTTGGGGGTTAAATGGAACAGAATCTCATTGAAGGCTCTTTGAAAGGTCAAGCAATGAGAAATCTTATGTAAGAAGCATACCAAATCTGTTTTCCCTATAAATAAAAACAATCTAGTAGATACAAAAATCTTGGTAAAAGAAATGATCTCAACATACCATATCATAGTGCTTCTCTTTTCAAATTTCACTCCAAGCCTGCTTTGTTCAGGAAGTTTTTATCCAGTGATATTATTATTCAGGATATTTTTGGTTGAGGGGGGACAGAAAACCTACCTCCAATGGACTTAATAAAGGAATTCATTGACTCACAAACTAAAACAGTTCAGTGCCAAATTCAGGCTATGGGCACAGTTTGATCAGGACTCTAGTTTCTATAATTTTCTCAGCTCTCCTATGTTGGCATTTGCTCCCAAATTGGCTTTTTTCATGTTGGCAAAAATGCTCTAACAATTCCAGGCTCAGATCTGTGTTTAACACCATCCTGAGCAAGAGAGAAATTTTGTGTCCTAGAATTCCCGTTAAAGTCGCTCTGCTCATTCTGATTGGTCAGCTTAGTTAGGTCATGGGTCCATCTTGGGCCCAATCAGGGAAGCCGGAGATAGAATGCCCTGATTGAGTCCACCTAGGTCTCTTATTCTGCCCTTGAAGTGGGAGGAGTTTTGGCTTCCTTAGAGCCCTGTGGCTCCCCAAATGCAAATTAGGGTCTGTTGGGTTAACCCCTGCAGGAGAGGCTTTTAGCTTCAAATTCACCTAACTTCTTTCATTCCCATTTAATGCATTCTGCATTCCTATTCACTGTGGATTACATTTTTGTCTATATTAGTATCTTCTGTGTTGTTCTGCCCTATGAGCATCTCAAATATATGGATGAAGTCCAGCCCTATTTAAACAAACCAACATTTCTGTTGGAGAATCTGTGAGATGATGACATGGAAAATATGAAAAAAAAGAAAGAAAGAAAAGTACTTGGAAATCTATCTCACCGTCCAGAAACAAAAGCTTGAGGTTTAATTCTGACCTTTATGAAATTGTGTGGCTGATTGCAGGCTACTGTCTGCAGACAGGGGGAAAAAATGTTTCATTTCTGTTCAAGAAACATCTCTACAAGCCAAATTGGATGAACTTCATAGATATTGGTACAAAATACAGTGTTTCTTTTTACTTGCTGAGAACCACTTATAGAAATTCAGCTAATCACAGTCTCTCCAAATCAGTCATCTAGGCAAGGTCTAAATTCTTTTTTAAGCAGAGACAAGTATAGAAGTAACTGATATTTGTAAAACATTGTCTAATGTAGCAAAACCTAAAAGCGACTGTTCCGTGTGCACGTAAAGCTTGAATTTTATGGACTTGATTCGGAACACAGCTCATCAGCTGTTATGCAGACGGATTCTCCTGTAGGACAAGGTAATTCAGCCATTGCTCACAGCCTCATCGCCAGGGGCAAGTTGTTTCCTGCTCCACAGTAGTGTAACCACCACTGCCACCACTAACACCACCATCAGAACCAACCAGCATCACCACCACCACCACCACAAGGCTTATATTTACATATTTATTTTACTTTTTAAAATATATTCATATGCATGATCTCATTCACTCTTATGGACTTTATAAGATTAGCAGAACAGGCATCATTATCCTCATTTTATGGGTGTGGAAACAGGTCCAGTGAGGTGAAGCGGTGTGTTCAAGGACACCAAAATAGTCAATAATCAAACCCAGACTACAGTTTGGTTCTTCTGACTCTAAAATGAATGCTTTTATTAAATGAGCCCCACTCTCTCTATGAAAATGAAAAACTTCTGATATTAACAACTTTGCTTCTGTATTTGCGTCAGAACCTGTAGAATGAACGGCCCACTGGGACCTATCACCCAACTTCCATGTGTTCCGGGTGAGCCACAAGCCAGTCAGAGTTCATGGGGCTCCTAGAAGTTGAATTTTAATCCAGGGCTTTTGACTCCAAATTCAGGCTTCTTTCCATGACAAGAAGCCGCTTCACGTACACCCCCGGGAGTCTCCTAATTCCCTCACACTGGCTGCTCCATGCCCTTGCCTGCAGCACAAGCTTTTCCAGTGAAGGGTGAGTATGGCTGGGAGCTGCGGCCCCTACTCTCCTGTTTCAAAGTGCCACAGAGCCTGAGAAGGAAACAGGCCGCTGGTTTTTTGTCATACGCCCATGGGCCGGAGTGTGTGACCAGAAGTTCTCAAGATTCCACCCAAAGCCTCTCCCCCATCCTGGCACAAAGGTTGCGCCTTTTCTAGGGAAGCCTGCTTGCCTTGCCGTTCAAGGGATCCCTTGTATTTCGGCTTGGTGCCCGCTGTTTCCATGCTGGGTCCCCCAGCTGGCCTGGCTGGGCTGCAGGACGGTTCTGTTGCTAATGGTCAGTGCAGAGCCTTTGGCTGCCTTGCTCTGGAGCCCTTTCTTTTTGAGTTCGGAGGTGAAATTTAGGTAATAAATATCTTCCAAGGACTTACCGTTCTTTCTAAGGATGTTGATGGCCAACCGGAAGAGGAAAATCACTCCGTAGAAGCCAATGATGGTGACAATGTACCAGGCAGCGCTGGTCCCATCTGGGAACTTCAGGGCCCTGGCGGCACTGGTGCTGTTTCTCCCCTCCATGTGGTCCCTCAGCAGGTGCCCAGGGCAGTGCTGGCCTAGGTCTGGGTGGGGGCTCCCTGAGTCCACATGAGTACTGGGAAACAGAGAGGTCCCGATGAGACCCAGTTCCTGGGCTGAGGGCTGCCTGGCAAAGCCAAATGACAGGGTGGCCCTCACAGCAGTGGGAAACGGGGGCCTCTTGAAGAGGCCTTCTCTATGGAATGGGCAGGAACCTAGCAACATATATGCCAATGTATTTGTAAAAAAGTTCAAAACACCAAGCTGCTGAATAAGAGATGCAACATCACACAGATGTCAATTGTCTTAATCTACCCAACTAACCTATAATTGCAATGACACTATCATGATTTCTTTGTGAAACAGACAAACTTTGCCTATTGAAAAATCAACTGTCATGACTAATTAGGAAAAATATGAAAACAAAAAAGAGTGATGAGTGGAAATCAGCCTAGCCAAAAATTTAAAACTAGCTAGCCAGAAACACAACTTACATTTTTGGGGATGAATGAATGCTTTATTTGCCCACAGCCCAGCTGTGGTTTACTGGGCTTTACACAGGACATGAGGGTCTCTTCAGAACAGGTACAACTCTCCCTAAATCTCCCCTAAAACGACAATAGTCAATACTGACACATAGATAGGCAGACCAATGAAACAGAGGAAAACCACTATCAACAGGCTAGGAATTATAATTTGGTACATAATACAGAGGCATTTCTGATCAGTAGGGAATTATTCAAAAGTAGCACTGGAGTAACATGACATTGAATCCACACATCTTTGACCTTGTGTCCAAAAACAGTCCAGATAAATCAAAGATTTTTAACATTAAAAAAGAAAGAATTTAAATACTGGAAAAAATATGGCAAATTTTTTCCTTTATCATCTCAGAGTGGGATATCCCCTTTTAAGTGTAACACAACAATTCAGAGCTCCCTCTGAATTGAAAGAAACAAAATGTTTTCCCTTTTCAACTACACAGAAAATATTAAAGTGATTGTGTACCAAAGACAAATGCCAAACTGGAGGGATATTGCAATTTTATCACTGAATTTCTTAATAGTCTTCAATTCTGTAAGAAAAGTCTAACACCTCAAAAGAAAAATATGCAAAGAATAAGGACAATAAGGTCATAGACAAAGAAATGAACCTTGAACTTAAAAAAAGCCTCTCAAGGTCACTCATAATTAGAAAAGTGCAGATTAAAACTCTAAGATCACATTCTGGAACCCTCACCAAGTGGAATATTACACAGCCATAAAAGTGCTCATAATGAAAAAGTCGTAATAAAGAGTTTTCTGGGTACTAAATATGAATAAATGGAAAAGTAAGCTAACCATGATATGGTATGCAAGCAAAAAAAAATGTGTAGATAAAGGGAGGAGATCTGTTATTTGCCTAAAGGTCATATATATATAAAGTACCTCTGGGAGAAGACACAGAAATTAGTATCTGTGGTTGCCCATGTGGAGGAAAATTAGGGGAAGGAGATACACTTTTCACTGATGACCTTTTGTACCTTATGTATCATATGTGCACTTATTTTCAAAAAGATATTAATTTAAAAATGAAAGAGTACAAGTGGGCACTGTTCTAGCCTCCTTGGTGAAGCGCCCCCGGGTAAAAACGCTCTGAGCCCTTCCAAGACCAGGAGATTAAGATCTTAGTTGTTGTTTAGTTCAAGACTGTTTTCTCTCCGGGGGAAGCCAGGGCCAATGAAGCTATGAGGGCCAGGGAAGTGAAACTGGGGGACATTTTCCAGCTGAGCTTTTCTGGTTCAAACCTTCCTCTCTTGGTATATATGAACACAGATGTGTTCAGACATGTCATAGGATAAATCTTATGGCCTGGAGTGTAGACCAAAGGTGCTCCATCCATAAGTGCTTTTATTTTGATATCTGCTGTTAATTCATTTTGCTAATGCAAAATTCAGAAAGGCTGGTATATTTTATTACAGTTAGTTGGCAGTATGGGTGAATCATCTTTCAGATGAAGGGAGAAAACATTTAAGAATAGCTCTACAAACCACATGTGACAAAGCCCAGATTACAGGTTTATATAAAACTGGTCACTCATAGGAAACCATAAAATGATCAGAATGTTCTGCCACTGTTGGTGGAACGGTTTGAGAATTTAAAGCATGGAAGGAGAAAAAGTTCCCATAATTATTTAAAATACATCAACAAGAGCATCACAGCAGTTAATTGGAAGGAGAAAATTTGTTTAAACTCAGAACACATGTATAAACTCATAGACCTTTCTATGAATTGTGATAGGATGATGTGATATGTTGAAATACATATAAAATATACCCAACAAGAACTACAGAACATTGAATTATTTTAAAGCCATTCCATTGGCAACATGAAAGAAAGTTGCTGTGTTAATGAATTAACCCTGTTCTTACCTTTCTTTCTCAAAAAAATAAGAGGAAGTCATATTGTATCTGAATGGATAAGCAGATCCTATAGAAGAGACAGATCTTTCTGTCATGCCATTTTGCACCTGTACTTTCTGCTGTGGAATATGTAATTCTAGAACGGTGCATCCCTGCACTGTAGCAGAATACTCACATTCCAGGCGCTGGTCTTTCTCTTGATTCTTGGGAAGGTGAGTTTAAGCAGCTGCCATGGAAACTGAAGATGGAAGGAACTTCTCCTTGCAAAGGATCACAGTCCTACTGAAGTCGGGTTCCTCTCTGGCTCCCAAGCAGGCAGTAACATGACACCTGAAGAATTTTGAGCAGGACCAAATAGAAACCTAGCAGAGAGAAACTGGACTCATTTTCTCTCATTCGATGAATCAGAGGATTGAAATCAACCTGAGTTCTTGTTGTCCCAGAATAAAAAGCACCTCCTGGCTTAGGCTTGTTGAGAACAGCTGCAGTAGAAAAATCTTTAAAAACATGCTGGTACCAAGGAGCCTCCAGTCCTCCCAGGTCCCGGCCAGACCTGCCGCGGCGGGAGGCTCTCCTGAGGCTCTCCTGAGAAAGATCTGTCTCTTCTATAGGATCTGCTTATAGCCTGGCTGCTTCCTGAATTCCTGCTCTGCACCTGTTGCAGGTGTGACAGATGGTAAGGTGTCAGAGGTCCGGGAAACTCCAAGGTCAAGTCACCAGCTTCCTCTTGGATGGTCTCCTGGATGAGGAAGCTCAGACAGGAAGGAGCAGGTGCAGGAGGACACAGCTGGGGGGCCTGGGGTCCCCCTCAGGGATCAGGGAGCCATGAGCTCATGGGCCAGGCAATGAGGACTGGTGCTCCTCTCTCCCACACCCCCGAGTCACAGCTTGCATTGGAATGGAAGCAGATTTACCTGGAAAGTGCTACAGTAAGAGTCTGGGGGAGAAGAAAACGCAGGGAGGAAAGGTTGTAAGACTTGGGCACGTTCTTCAATGTGACCATTGTTTCCAGCCTGACTTCTTCTACATCTTCACTAATATAACAATGACCTGCCAAATTTGTGAGGGTTCTTGACTCTTAAGATGCAATTTGATCAAAATCCCATCAATGGGGGTCTAGAAAAGTAAATTATAAAATAGGCCATGTGATCCAGCAATTTCACTCCTGTGTATATACCCGGGAGGAATGGAAACACACATCCATGTTCATGGCAGCATCATTCGTAATTGTTCAAAAGTGGAAACCATCCAAACACCCATTCACTGAGGAAAAGAGAAATAAAGGTGGTCTATTCATACAATGTAATATTATTTGTCAACAATAGTACTTGGATATAATAATGTTCGGGATACCTGAGAAAGCAAGAACAGGAGTTACTTGGGGCAGGAGAGAACTGGGTAGATGCAGGCAGGGGTGTGGGGGGGGGAGAATTCTCACTGTAGATTTGTTATGAATGTAAATAAATTTAAGTGTGTGTGTGTGTGTGTGTGTGTGTGTGTGTGTGTGTGTGCATGCTGCCCCCCCATTCAATAATAAATACCTCCATTAATTAAATGTAAATCTTTGTTAAAGTTCTATTCAAGCTCTTGCTGTCTCTTGCTCTGGGGTGGCTGGATCACGGCTCTGCCGTGCAGACAGGGACTTCCAGCACTGGCTGGGTGACATGCGAAGGGCAGAATGGAGACCCTGTATGATAAAGGGCCAACAGCAAGGACAGGCTAGGTCAGGGCTCTGGTCCCAGCTGTGACCTTGCTGTGTAACCCCGGGCAAGTCCCCTCCCCTCTGCGAGCTGCAGTTTCCTCACTTGTAAGCTGGAGGAGCAGCAGGATCCGATACTCTCTGGTCCCTGCAAGGCAGGAAGGACGCCTGGGGCAGCGTGGAGAAGTGCCACCCCCATGGAGGTGCCTGGCCAGCAGCTGCCAACACCAGGAGGCCCAGGAGAGGGCGGTAGACCTGGGAAGCTGGCAGCTGCGGGGAGTGAGTCACCCGTGAGGCCAGGCTGTAGCATTCAGCTGAGCAGGACACAGCAAGGGAATATGGAGAGTGATAAGCTCCCGAAAAGTCAGGGCAATGTAAGGGAAGATGGCCTTTGTCTCACCCGCGCTATGAAAGGAGCATGAGGTCAGGAAGCAGTTCTGTGCTGGGTACTCTCTGCTTGGCTCCGCTCTACAATCCCTGAAAAGCAGGGGAGTTATTCTCACTTGAAGAGGGCAAGACGCTCAGAGAAGTGACTTGCCCAATGTCACTCAGCATAATAAGTAACAGAGGTGGGATGTTTGACACCAAAATTTTTCTCCATCTACACCCTGAAGGCCACCTTCAAGCTGGACCCAAGCTCCCATGAATCTTCCAATCACTTACTTGCCCTGTGGGTTGAATTGTAGTCTGTCACTGCTGAGGTTCATCCATGACCTTGACACCCTCTTTGTTGTTCACCATTAAACTATGATGTTAAAAGCCAGGACAACGGCCATCCTTCAGCTGAGGCTAAGTGCCCTGAAGGGGCATGGAGGGATCTCCAGGGTGCCAGTCCTGTTCTGGGTCATCGGTTTGCTCAGCTTGGGGATTTCACAGAACTGCACACTGATGCTGCATTCACTTTTCTGCAGCGTGTTATACTACAATGTTGTTTCTTCAAAGTTTAAGGCTGACATAGAAAAATGCTCCTT